CCTACCTTCCTGTATTGCCCTTTCAACCCATGACAGATACAACACTAGGTTAATAGTCTTCCCCAAAACTATGGCTTTTCTATGTACAGAACCTGGTGCTGGCTACAATGACAGCAAAAGAGGCTAATTTTCAACCAGAGGGTTTGGCCTTTACGATACCATCACTACAGAACTTTGCTCTACTCAGTGGCCAGCTCAACTTTGGGCTCAATTCCATTCCCTGAGATATGATACTAGTGAGTTTCTCATGTTATTTCACTTAATCCTCACAACAACCCCATTCACTGGCATTGCTGCTCACATTTTACATATGATAAAATCCAGGCTCAGAGACGTGATCTACCCTGTCCAAGATCACAGACAGAGTACACCACAGGTGTTGCATTTGAACTCAGGAATCCATACCCCACAGCTCGGGTTTTTACTGGTCCAGTATGGTGTTGCTTATCTCATGACATCTTTGCAGGGGTTGTATGACCCCCACCCCTGGTACTCTCTCCAACAAAGCTTGTTGGCAAGCTTGTCCATGGTAGAGACCCAGGAAGGGGCCCAAGGGCAGAAGGAAGCTGATGAGTTGAGGGAGGATGGCTCTAGGCATCATTGTACATGGTATGCATGATGCTTCAACCCTAAGAATAAGCAGCACTGGGTCTTATACCAAGAAAAGCCATAGCTTTCAGAGCTCTGGGAGGTCCAACCCAAGTAAGGAACATAGCAGTTTATGGAATACACTGCTAGTGTATTCCATACTAGCACAGAATTGACTCTGGTGCTCAATGCCTCTGGCACTGTGGGTCAACAGTCTCCCCTGGCTTTGGACCCAGAGGCTTGGGAAATGCTGGGGCCAACACAGGAATGGAAGACAGAGGAAGTAACTGAAAATGTATTGTTGCCCGTGCACTTTTCAGGTGGTGGGGTCCCCATGGCTCTGGGGATTGTGGGAGAGAAAGTGATCTGGGGGAAGCTCCTTCCTTGCTATGTGGGTTCAGGGAAATGACCTGTGGTCACATGGATGAGTGCGTGATGACAGAGATGAGGCTCTGAAGGAACAGGGTCAAGGTGCATGGAGAGCATACATCAGGGGCATGTTTGCTGGGCTGGGGAACTGAGAGGCATCTGCTGCTCTGGCAGGAGAGGAGGCCAGCCTGGTTGCCAGGGGTGGGAGTGGGCAGAGGGGCCAGTGCTGGAGGGGGAGGACTTTCCAGGTGGAAGTAACAGCACATGCCAAGTTGGCAGGAGCAGGAGCTTAGAGGGAATGGAAAGAGGCAAATGGGATGGGCACATGGAGAATGGTGCAGTGTGGATGAGACAGGGCTGTGAGCAAGGTCAGGCCAGACCAGGCCACACCACTGGGGACCCCGCACGTCTCACTGAGGGGTTTCCTCTCACATCTGAGGAGCGATAGGCTCTGCATTGTTAAGCAGAGTGTGATGCAGAGGGTGGATGGGGAGAAGGGAGGGGGCTGGAGTGGAATGATGGGAAGCCAGTTAGCAGGCTGCCTCAGTAGGCCAGGAGACAAATGCCAGATCCTTGGAATTGAGTTGGGCACAGGCCAGGGGAGGAAAAGCTGGACGGGAGACCCTCCCAACAGAGGTGGAGGTAGAGACAGCTGCCCTTTTCCCTTCCATTCCCTGAAGCTCTTCGCCAGAGGGAGAACATCGTCTCAGCATTAGCCTGGGGTTCCTGAGCCCGGGCATCCTGCTCATGCCTCGGGTGTTTTGTTCTCCCCACAAGGAGGCCTCTTTCCCTCCCTTACTGGCTCCGAGGGCCAAGCACCACCTGTTACATTCCACCAAGTCTGAACCACCAGCGCATTCCGTCATCTCCAAAATTACATCTTTCTCCCAAATTTCTGTTTTGTGGTGTCCTGGAGCTCAGCTAGATTTCAGAGGGAAGGATTCTGATGAAACAAATATGTGCACTGAAGTGTCTCTGACCACAAGCACTCTGCTGTTTTTGCCATCTGAGACCCATGTTTCTTATTAATAAAAACAATATACACATGTTTGTAAAGCATCTTCCCATAATCCAGTTTAATCCTGAAAATCACAATTCTGGAATTCCTCTCAATTTATGATGAAGGCATGACATTCAAGAGGTTAGGTGGTGTCCTAATAACATAATACTTGCTGGTGTCATAAAATCAACAGCCAAACAATAACTGCAGTGAAGATGATGGTCTGACTACCATTGGCGACATGATGCCAGCTATATCCTAGGTGCCACATTCCGAATTTCACTCAGCGCATCACATGTATCTCCCTTCCACACTGAGGGAGGTCCCATCATTCCCATTTTGCAGATGGGACAACTGCTGAAGACCACACAGCTAATAAATGGGAAAAGGAGAACTAGAACCCAGGACCACCTAATTCCAGGGACCAAGCTCTGTCTACTCTTACAGGCCATCCCAAGACTTCAGCCCCTTGCTCCTCTCCTCCAGAGGAAGTGATTAGTAACTCAGTAATAAGCTCATGCTTTGCCCCCACTTCAAAGGTGACATTTGAACCATAGACTAGGAATGGTATGCACTGTCAAAACATTACACATCCAAGAACCTTTCATAATCCAACTATTAATTCCATGACTTGAAGAAGTTATTGTAAACCTTTAGACAAATTCGCCTCTAAAACTGGAGTATTCAACACCCATCTCACAGGTTGGGTGTGAGAGTTTGGGATGATTGTGCAGGTGGAAGGCTTAGCACGGTGGCTGGTGGAGAGTGAGGACTCAGTCAAGGAAAGTAAAAGAAAAACTAAGTAAGAGGCTCAATTTCAGGCATGAAGATTAAGTTAAGAAATTCACATCCCAAAGGGGAGAGCAGTTTTGCTTAGATCAGGTCACCTCAGAGATGTGACCTGATCACACACTGTTCCCACACCCTTCCGACCTGTCACACCCTCACTGCAGTGAGGTCTGATTTCCACTCCATCCGTCTGCAGGGACTCAGGGTCTGGAGCAGGCTCAGTGATGATGGAGCCCACCCCTGAGCCCCAAGAGAGCCTCTCCGATGTTGCCCCAGGCAGCCCTTCCTCTAATGGGGACCACAGGGTACCCCATTCTATTCTACTTATTTCCCACCATTCCTGGAAAATAAACACATTCCCCCTACTTAGAAAAAGTATATGAGGCTGGAATGTTTTATCTTTTGTCATGCATTTTTGTCCAAGCCCAACTTCTGCAGTATTCAATTCTATTGGTTGTTATTTCTTTTTAGATTTTATTTATTTATCTTTAGAGGGAAAGGGAAGGAGAGAGGGAGAGAAACATCAATGTATGGTTGCCTTTCATGAGCCCCCTGCTGGGAATTGGCCTGCAGGGAACTGGCCTACAACCCAGGAATGTGCCCTGACCGGGAATCGAACCGTGATTGTCTGGTTCGCAAGCCCCTGCTCAATCCACTGAACTATACCAGCCAGGTGGTTGTTATTTCTTTTTAAAAAAAAAAGGTAAAAATCTATCTTGTTCTTTCAAGAATACCCAGTGTTGCTAACAGAATGAGAATTACGTACAAGTCCAGAGAGAGAAAAGGGCAGGGCAGTGGCTTGTTACCTTATTTCTTATCTCCTTAGAAAAAAAGATAAACCGCCCTTCTCTTCCGTCATTTAGTGAGAAAGGACTCCAATAAACACAGTTTTTGCTAAAGACAGTGAGAAGTGGTAGGCTGCCCCCATCTTTATGTGTCTGAAAGCACCAGATGCAAACATGTGGCCCACTAAGCAATCGGGTCGGCAGAATTTTGCTCTTTGCCTGAGCCTGGTGTGGAGCCAAAACACTGTGCCAGACTGGCAAAATCAAGAGGCAAATTCTTTGGCTAAAAGAGGCAAAGGGAGTCCAGCTTGCTTAGCAGAGCTGTGTACTACACAAAGGAAGGCACCGAGAGAAGTCACACAAATATGTAGTGAGTAAATACAGTTCATTGCCATGTCAGTGGCTTTCATTCTGTTTCCTGTTCTCCATGCCTTGAAATGGAGGGAAGGTGAGGAAAGAGTGGGTTTGGCCTGGACGCAGCCTCAGCAGGTGCTGATTTTTCTGGTCTTGCTGCTCAGCTCTAGCTACCCCCACCCTGGAAGTAACTTGTAGATTCTTAGATTAGAAAGGTCTCTAATCAATCCCTCTCATTTTACAGAGGAGCAATCTGGGATCCAGAAAGCAGACTGATAGGAAAGTCACAGACCCAAGGAAGTGATGTTCCTAGAGGTCCCCCAGTTCAGTGACCCCATCTGCTCCTGAATGACCCAGTCGAGCTCAGCTGATGAGGGAACAGGAGGGGGCACTTGACCCAGACCTCCGGTTCAGGATGATGCCACCGCAGGTGCCCACGGTCAAAGGGACTACATCGACAAGAAATGGATGGGGCCTCCTTGTATTTCTGACTGCCTTTCTCCACAGCTGGGGCCCAGCCTAGTAGCAAAATGTCTGGTCCTGGCTCTGCAAAGCAGTAGTTGTTTCTGGCATGTTAGAGACCTTGGCCAAAGGGCTTGTCTCTTTTTCTTTCCTGGGGATGGCTGAACAGCCTATAGCTATGTTGCTAAATTAGCTCAGGCCCATGGGGCTGTGAGAACTCAAGAGAAGGATATATTACAGTCCCCAGATCCACCCACCGAGAGCCAGTCTCCCTGCTCCTCCCAGCTCCAGGACAAGTGGAGCTCTCTTTGGCTTTCCAGCTGTGTGCAGAGAGGTCTCCTCAGAGCCCCTGCAGCCAGACAATGGCCACACTACTGCTTCTGAGGCCTTCCCAGGCATTGCTGGAAGGAGACAGGCAGCCTTTCCTTATAGAGGCAAGTGGCGCTGCCGATAAAACATTAGCAAAATTATCATGAAAAGCCAGACCCCTAGTCCTCTGCCGGTGAGCACAGAAAGGACCGAGCAGGAGTCTGGGGGCCATGTGTCCACGCAGATGCCAGGTTTCCTTCCTCCTTCCAGCAGCCCTGGCGCAGGCTCCTGCACCTCCCGCCCCCACCCTGTTCCCATGGCAAAGGAGAAGAGGACCCACTTACTGCTCGTGTTCATGGTGATGCCTTTGCACTGGGTCTTTCATTCAATACGGAGGCTCTGGTTGCTTGTAAAATCTTTCGATCTTCCGACCTCACTCATCACCTGGGGGGTGGAAAGGAAGTCCAGCGCCAGCTCTGTATCCTCAGGTGCTCGCTCTCTCTCTCTGCATTCCTCTCTGAGTCTGGGCTGTAGCTACTGGCCTTGAAGGCGAGTGGACTAATAAGCGCAGGTGAGAGCAAGGAGGAGGAGGAGGCGGGGAGAACACGGGCGTCCGGGTCTTGCTCCCCTTGGACTTGAATCAGAGGCAGAAGCGGGGTTGGCAGCGCCTGCTCGCGCGCACCCCCAGCTACTCCAGCCCAGCGGCTCTGGAGCCCAAAGGGGGTGTGGACCACAGGGAGGCAGGGCGGGGGCAGCGCGCAGGGCGCCAGCTCCTCTGGGCAGCGCGTCCCCGCCCGGCTTCGGAGAGCAGTGACCCGCCCTGGGACCCACCTCTCGGCCGGCGTCTGGAGCCAGAGGCCCCTGCCAGGGCCCCTGCGACCGGTTCATGAATCCTGGTCCTCGTCTGGGGACTCGAGTACCAAGGCGAGCAAAGCGAAATAGGAGAGCTCGACATCCATGATGCGGGCTCGCCGGGTAGCAGCGCGAGGGGGCGCGGCTGCTCCCTGCTGCCATCTGCTGGACGCGGCGGTGCGCGTCCAGGCCCCGCCCCACCCTGACTTCTCCCTGGGTCCTAAGGTGTGATGGGGGTGGTGGTGGTGGTGGTGGTGAGGGCACCCTTGTGCGTTGGGGACAACAAGCGGGTGTTTGGGCTCTAGTTTCCCTCCCTTGGTCTTAGGGTTTAAGGGCTAGACGATGACAGGGAAATAAAGTAGTACTGGGATAGGCTGTGAGGAAAGGATTGGCTTTGTAGGAAGACCGTTTTCACTTCCAACTCTGCTTCTAACCAGCGTGGTCTTGACCAGGTCACTGCTGTCTCTGGCTCATCTTCCTCATGTATAGGAAGGAGGGGGCAGCTGGGCAAGCTGGTGAGACACTGGGGGATTCTCCCAGCCTCCTAACTTATGGTCCTAACTCCCCCTTGGGCCCATCTCCCCCTTGGGCCCCTCACTACTGATTCATTTGTTACAATTGTATATTATCTATCTTCCCCACTTGAAGTGGGGAAGTATGGGTCTTGTCACATAGTAGGGTTCACTGTGGGAGCCCCCAATACCTAGAACAGTGCCTGGCACACAGTAGGTATCAATAAATATTTGTTGACAGAACACTCCAGGTCTTTTCTAGATCTAATATTGTGCAGCCCTCAGAGCAGAAGGTCAAGGAATCCCTACCTTGAAACAGTTCCCCGTCTGCGGAAAACAGCAGGCATGTGGCCTCATGACTCAGTCTCACAGGTCCACCCAGCTTGGGTATGGCCAACGAGCTCTTGTCCAAAGTGTTTTGTTTTCGAAATTAGTTCTCTTGGGTGTGTATTATAGAAACCTATGATCTGATTTTTAGGGTTGTAATTAATTCAGTGGGGTGGGGTTCCTTACATTCCCCTGACTACTTGCCTTGTCCTCTGAACCTAATTCATGATCACAGAAGCATGACTTTTGAGTCCAGAAAAACAAGACTGAGAAGACCCATGATCACTGTCTGTGGAATGACTCTGGTTAGAGCATGTGTCTATTCACAAAGCTGTGAACACTCACACCCACAACTTACAAGGCAACAATAGGTCAGAGAGGCTGAGATACCTGCCCTAGGACTCACAGCAACTTGTGGTAGAATTGGACTAGGTCTTCTCATTTCCAGCTTGGTCCTGTGAGAGAGTGACTCCGTGTGAACCAGAGTCTAGGATGACAGACAGGGTAGGGGTAGGTAGCTACCCCAAACTTGGAAAGAACACCTTTTGGGTAAATAGAAGGTTTCTAATTTCCATAGAAAACCAAACCAAACAAACAAAAAACCTCATGTGGCCATGACCCCAAGATATGATTGTGATTAAATACTCTTCATTGAAACTGAAATGTCAATGGATTTGAAATACACTGTGATAGCTTAATAGGATTTTTTTCCAGTGGAGGGGGAATAAGCCTGAACTTCCTGACAGTGGTTCTTTTTTTTTTTTAAATTTATTTTTTATTGATTATGCCATTACATTTGCTCTATTCCCCCCTCCCTTCCCCTCCACCCTGCATACCCCTCCCCCACCATTTCCCCCTTTAGTTCATGAACATGTGTCTCAAATTCTTTAGATTCTGTATTTCCCCTACTATTCTTACCCTCCCCCTATCTATTTTCTATCTACTGTCTATACTACTTATTTTCTATACCTTCTCCCCCCTTCCCCTCCTCCCACTCCCCTGTTGCTAACCCTCCCTGTGATCTTCATTTCTATGGTTCTGCTCCTGATCTAGCTATCCTCTTAGTTTGCTTTTGTTTTAGGTGTGGTTCTTAATAACTGTGAGTTTGCTGTCCTTTCACTGTTCATCTTTTTTATCTTCTTTTTCTTAGGTAAGTCCCTTTAACATTTCATATAGTAAGGGCTTGGTGATGATGAACTCCTTGAATTTGACCTTATCTGAGAAGCACTTTATCTGTCCTTCCATTCTAAATGAAAGTTTTGCTGGGTAGAGCAATCTTGGTTGTAGATCTTTGGTTTTCATGACTTGGAATACCTCTGTCTAGCCCCTTCTTGCCTGTAAGGTCTCTTTTGAGAAATCAGCTGACAGTCTGATGGGAACTCCTTTGTAGGTGACTGTCCCCTTAGCTCTTGCTGCTTCTAGGATTCTCTCCTTCATTTTAATCTTGGCTAATGTAATTATGATGTGCCTTGGTGTGTTCCTTCCCCGGGTCCAACTTCCTCGGGACTCTCCGAGCTTCCTGGATCTCTCGGAAGTCGATTTCCTTTGCCATCTTGGGGAAATTCTCCTTTATTATTTGTTCAAATAATTTTTCAACTGGTGGTTGTGCCTTTCCCCCTTCTGGTACCCCTATAATTCGGATGTTGGAACGTTTAAAGATGTCTTGGAGGTTCCCAAGCCTCTCCTCATTTTTCTGAATTCTTATTTCTTCATTCCTTTCTGCTTGATCATCTTTTTCTTCTGTCTGGTCCTCTCCCTTGATTTGAGTCCCAATTTTCTTTCCATCACTATTGGTATCTTTTGTATCAGCATTCATTTCAATTAATTTAGCTTCCATATGTTTCTCTAATTTGTGACTAAAATCCACCAGTTCTGTAAGGATCTTTATAACCAGTGTTTTGAACTGTGCATCTGAAAGACTGGCTATTTCTTCATCACTTAGGTCTATCGGTTCTGGGGCTCTGAGTTGTTCTAGAGCCATTTTTGGTTTATTCGTGCTGTTTAGTGAGCGGAGCGAAGCCTTAGTTGTTTACCAGGACGGGGCGACCCAGGTCACTGGTTTGTGACGCTGTGTGTGGGGGCGGGGTCAGAGAGGGAGCGATGGCGTTCCTCTCCGCTAGCCCAGCGCATCCAGTCACTCAAACGCCTCGGGTTTGCTTATCCGATCCTAATTTTGCGAGCCTGTTGCACCGCGTGGGTTTCCCTTCTCACTGGTTTCTCCGCACGTAAATGTGCGCGCGACCTACCGACCCACCGCGCCTATTCCCTGTGCGCTCCGGCAGCCAGCTCGCTGGCAATCAGCCCTCGGTTGCCTGCGCGCCCCGCGCACCGCCCCGGGGATTTTTTCTTGCTAACCTGCTCTGCTTCTGGCCTCGCTCCTCGTACCGGTCCAGCCGAGTATCTAGTTGTCCTTTGGACTCCGTATTGTCGATTTTCCGTGTGGCTTGGTTGTGACTGCTGTTAAAAATAGTTGTTCTTAGATTTGGTTGTGCACAGAGGTGAGGTGGACCCTCCACCTACTTCTCCATCTTGGCGGAAGTCCCCCTGACAGTGGTTCTAAAAATTGTGTTTGTGCGACAACCCCTGAGATATCTGCAAAAATGCAGATTCCCCAGCTCTGATTACTTGCTCTGCATTTTAAACAAGCAGCTGAGGTGATTCACAGACCACTGTTTGCTACTGAAGAGGGCAGAGGCCTAGAATAGTTTTGAGAACAGAATAAGTAATTAATATTAATATTTATTAATCACTCCAAAAGATTTCTTCAGAGACCCCATAGATTTGCAGATTGGGATTCCTCACTTGATTCTCCTGTTGAATGCAACTTGCTAGGTTCTAATGCTTGGAAAAAGATAGTGTTTTTTTTTTTATTCTGGGAGAAAGTTTAGGTAAGTTGTACATAAATATGTAAAATTAACAAGATCGTTCAGTGAACATGTTTAGTTGTTACCCAAAGCTTCAGGGCCCAGAAATTTTCCAGTCATAGTCAAATAAGAGCATGGTATTCATTTATTAGTTCATTCACTCAACAATCACTTACTGAAGATCTACTTTGTGCTAAGCCCCTTGGTAGCTACTGGGGATATAGTGGTGAATGGGACATGCCCTCCTGGAGCATAAATTTTGTTTTGGAGGGGGGTAGACAGTAGCTAACTAAGTGAAGCGTGAGTATTAGGCAAACCCGATAATGGCTTGGTTGAGGTCAGGCACTGATTTTCAGTCCCAACTACATCACTTGCTAGCTCTGTGACCTTGGATGAGATACTCAGCCTCTATGAGCCTCAAATTCTTCATCTATAACATGTGTCAAAATGATACCTACCTCAAGAGTTGTTGGGTGTATTAAAATTGTTGGGTGTCATGGGGAATGACAGTGTGCGTGGGAACTGTAAGTACCCTCAGAGATGTCCTGTCATCCTCCACTCACGTACACCATGGGTCTTTCCATAGAGTGGAGGCCATGAAAATATGCCTCAGGATTTTCCAACTACAGGGAGCATAACTGACTAGTTCTTTTTGTCTAGTGTGCTTTTTAAGTGGTAAATCCATCTGGCTCTTGATGAATTCAGCTCTGTGGAGAGACCTTTGAGCCTTGGACCACTCTAAATGCCCCCAATAGCTTCTGTTGGGGAAACTCTCTGCATAATTATACAGGTAGAAAGAAAAGGGTTAAAAGAAGCTAAAAAAAACCCTATACCGGTGAGGATGTGCACAACAATGGGAGGCGAGTGGGAAAGACGCATGAGGAAGCTGAGGGTGGGAATCTCGGTGCAATCGCCTGTGAAAGTCATCAGGACAGCAGAACCCCGGCTCTGTCCTTGCAGGAGAACAGTGCTCAGAGCAGCGGGGCCCTTTGTTCGGAAGTTTGTTTTAAACTTCAAGACACCAGAGTGCAGATAAACAAGTCTCACTTGGAAACAGGCAAATAGACCAGGTGGCAAAACCATCTGGAGGCAAATCTTCCACCTTCTTCAAGGGGAAAGAAGGAACCTTTGAGGGCCAGCTTTACCCAGGGCTGACCCCATGATGCTTCTCTTCTTCTTCCTTCCTGACTTCTTGTCCCTACCTGGGTCATCTCTAGAGCCCCTCCCCACATTCTGCCCCTCATTGCTATGATTTACTAACACAGGCCTAGGTGCCCAACTTTTCTTTCTATTTGCCTTTCTCTGGTCCCACACAGCTCCCTTCTGTGCTCTGTTCCCCACACCGCCTGCTCCTCACTCACCCTGCTCTGCACTGCCCTGCCCGTTTGTGAACCTGCTTTCTTGCTCCCTCACCTTCAGCACAGAAGCCCCGGGCCTAGGAA